TGATGGAATAATGTGAAATAGTCATTTTGACTTTGTAATTAAATGAGTTGGCTTACTATTTAAGAAAATAAAGTAAAAAATACTTTAATATTTAATAAAATGAAAATTAAATTATGCCGACATATTGTAAATCATGCAATCAAGTTAATAGTACAAATTTCTATATAAATAAAGTGATATCGATTTTAAAAATTATTTTGTGATAACCATCGCAATAAAAAATCAATTCTTCATATTAATTAAGAACCACTGCAATTTCTTATTCTTTTGGTGACCAACCGTACAACATGTCTTCAAAAAAAAAACATCTATTAAATATATTTAATTTTTATAAAATTTTATTTAAATATGCACGATAAGATGTAAATATAATTAGAAAATTAAAATTGAAAATTGATTATGAAAATATTAGTATAATATTTATCACAATGTTACAATTGAATCTTATTTAACAACATTAATAACAAATCACGGTGATTTCTTATTCATTTAGTAACCATCCATATATCAAAATATTTTTCATCGTATCTTCGATAAATCATTTAATCAAGAGGATTAGTTCATAATTATTTGAATTATCAATAACTCAACCTTTCAAGTTTTTCAAAAATTATAAACCCAATCTTCCAAAATATCAAAACAAATTTAACTATTTATTTTTAAAAACAAACCAATCTTTATCCTCAATAACAAATCATTTGTTCATCTGTTTTGTTAGCTATCCAGTCATATGTACACAGAAATATGCGTGAAGACATTTCAAAATATAGGTACAAAATAAATTTAGAAATCAATTGCAAAAAAAACTTATTGATATCGCTACACAACACTATAATAGAATTGATATCTCAACATAAATAATAAATACCTACCTTATTCTATTCATTTCGTAACGAGGCATATAAATATCCATTGATTTTATCAATAATTCCACCAAACCAATTTTTTAAAAAAATATATATTGCGATTCACAATATTATAATAAATCATATAAATTAATAGATCAATTAAAATATTTGTAATATTATAAATTAGAAGAAAAAAATAAAATAATATTTTATATAATTAAGAATTAATATTTTTTTAATTTAAAATAATATATATTACAATTTTTTTTAATTAAATGTTGATTATAATATTTGTTACAATTTTTCAACTTCAGCCTCACTTTTTGATCATTTTTTCGGAATCAAAATAATATATTGTAACAAGGTAGGGTAAGAGAAGATAAAGTGAGAGAAATATGTAATCAGTATTATTTATTTATAATATTTGAATATGTTAAATTTTCATTATCTTTAGTTATAATTAAGATCTTAAATGACAACTATTTTATAACTGAGTGAAATAAATATGTAAATTATATACTAAATTATTGTATATCATAACATTAAAAAAATTAATCAATATTCAAAGTTATTTTTATATTTGTCAAAATTTCTTTACTAGTACAATACCTGTGTACTACACGAGTGTTGTATTAAGAAATACTAGTACAACTCCCGTGTATTACACGGGTGCTTGTTAATTTTTTTTTTCTTAAAATCTAAAATTAATGAGAAAAATAGTTAAAAGTTTAAATACCTTTTATAAAAATATATTATTATATATTTAGTATGACATTTTTTATTTGTGCGACTTACCTGTGTTATATTATAATAATTTTTTTTAACTTACAACATATAACTACATTAAACATAATTATATCAATTGAGAAATAATTTTATTCTTCTAATGAATTTTAATAAATATAATTATTTTTTATTATTATAAATATAAATATAATTTATTTATTTAAATCGAAAATCATCAAAAGATGATTAATTTGATATATTATATATGTAAACCGATAATAAATACAAAAGTTATCAACTTTTAAAATATATTTACAATTCAATAGCTAATTGAAGGAAACAAATCAAAAGTCAAGGATATATTAGTCACTTAGTGTCTCACTATGTAAAATTACAAGGAATTAAATGTTATATTAGTACAATGATATTAAAATACCTAAGTTAGCTAAATAATATTTATGGAATGTCCAAACCTAGATTATTAATTATTAATATATCAATATTATTTGTCCAAACCTAATTACGAAGCATGATTCTTCGCCAAGTAGGATTCCGAAGCACCAAAAGCAGTGAAAGTGATTTGTAAATCGTAACTTAACAGAGAAAAATATGAAAGATAATTATAATATGGTAAGATTGTTATTTGCCAAACTAAGAAGAAAATGTGTATTAAGAGAAAAAAAAATAACAAATTAAATATACACTTACCAAGGTTGAAAAAAGGTTTAATATCTAGTCTAACTCCAGAGCAAAAATGAATATATAAATAACACTACGAAGCACATATTCTCGTCATCTCAGCATCTGAAGGATGTTGTGTAGATATTACAATTCAAAATTAATATAAGCATTATAATTTTATAGAATGAAATCTCCACAACTTTTCAAAAATATATTGTAATAATATCTTCCTAATATAATTATACATGCCTCCTACCTTCTTTCTTTTTAATTGGATGTATCTAACGTTAAAAACAATCGCTTTCATACACTCATTTTACCCTAAACAATTTATTCCTATTTATTAATTTTTCGAACATTGGCCCCGTTTGGAAGATAGCGGATTGAAGATAAATTAGCGGATTGAACTCAATTGAGAGGTTTGACCCGTCAAATCCGCTATTAAGTTTGTTTGGTAAATAGCTTATTTGATAAGCTTTTTCGGCCCAAAACTCTAATTTAGAAAAAGCTCATTAGAGGAGCTTTTTGGGATAGAGGATTCACAATCTACTATTTTAATTTGAAACTTTTTAATTTGTATTATTTATTTTACAATTTACATTGGTTTATGGTGCTAATAAATAATAATATGTAATTTATATGATTAATTTATCTAGAAAAATGTAAAATTTATAACTTCTTAATCAAGTGTTAGTAAATTTAAAAAAAAAAATAATATATTTATAAATTACCAACTAAAGAATATTAAAGTTTTAATATATTATTATTAAAAGAATACACCCTAAATAATAAAAATGTCCTTATTGGTAATTTGCAATGTCAAACAGCTATAAGCTTTCAGCTATTTACCAAACACTTATTTAAAAACCGCTAATGCAATTCGCTGGTCAAATCAGCTAATATAATCCGCTATCCGCTATCCGATAATACAATCCGCTATCCGCTATCCGCTATCCGCTGATCGCCAAACAAGGCCATTGTATTTGGTTTAACCAAACAACATTAAAACCAAATACCACTCCCCAACAGTTGGCTCCTTAGCATTATTGTACAAATCAAAATTAATAATATAAGCATTATAATTTTACAGTTTTTCTAAGAAACCATCCGCTGGTTTTTATTATGAAACCAGCTGCTTGCGTGTCATCTTATGTGGCCTTTTATATTAATTTAATAATATTTTTGTTAATATTTTATTAATTATAATTTAAAGAGATTTTTTTTTATCTTCCTTCTTTCACGATCAGTTACATATTTTTTCTCTTCCAAACGTTTTCTCCTTCAAAATTTTTTTCTCGATTAATCGCTTGTCCTTGCATCTTCTCCTTCGAGAAATCTTCTATCGATAAATCACTGCTCCTTCAAAAGAGAAAACTCAACTCACAATGGCTTCTTCTAGTAAGTTTTTATATTATTTCTAGGTTTTTTTTTTTCAATTAATCACAACAACAAGTGAAGAGTGAACATAAGCCAAAAGAGAAAAGTCATGAATGAAGAAATCGATTTTTTCCCATGTATATTAAGATTTTAAGATGTAGATTATTAATATTTTCTATAGGCATTCAGGTCGAGCAAGACGAGCAAGAGTTTACTACTCAAGTCGATCAGGGCAAGATACCTCATGAAGGTTTGGAATTTCAGATGTGGGAAGAGGCTCGAGATTTCTACAATACGTATGCGAAAGAAGTAGGCTTTAGCACTCGTACGCAAAATTGCAAAAAAAATAAACAAACCAATATGTTTGTGTGGAAGATGTTTACTTGCTCGAAGGAAGGGAAAACAAATGAATTCTACAAAAATAAACGCAAAGATGTTGTGGTTCGAACAGGGGAAAGGAAAAGGGGAGAGACGAGATGTGGTTGTCAAGCTCGAATGAGTATTTGCAGAAACAAAGAAGTTTGGGTTGTGAAGCATTTTATAGAACAACATAATCATCCACTGGTTACCCCTAGAAAGGTTCATCTACTTAGATCCCATCGTAGTGCGTCAGCTACGAAAAAAGCACTAATGCAAGAGTATAGAGAGGCAAACATTCCGACCTGCCAGCAAGTTAGGTTGTTTGAGATTGATGCTGGGGGTCCGTCCATGATGGGATGTTTGGAGAAGGATATCAGGAATGAAGAAGCTGCGCATAGGGCTGAATTGAATAAACATGATGCGCACACAATGATTCAGCAATTTGAAATGGAAAAGGAAAGGAATGAGAATTTTTTTTATGTTTATGAGACAGATGGTGAGGGCATTTTCATTAGGTGCTTTTGGGCCGATAGCGACTCAAGAAATTCGTATGCATTGTTTGGTGATACAGTTGTCTTTGATACTACATATAACACAAACAAGTATGGAATGGTGTTTGCGCCCTTTGTTGGCGTGAATCATCATAGGCAGACAACGGTATTTGGTTGTGGGTTGCTTAGTGATGAGAAGCACGACTCTTTTGTGTGGTTATTCACTAAATTTCTAGAAGCAATGCCAAACCAGCCTCATCCAAATATCATTATAACTGATCAAGACGCTGCAATATCTCTTGATGTGAGTGAAGTATTTCCAAATACTATTCATAGGTATTGTATTTGGCATATACTAAACAAGTTCTCAGAGAAACTAGGTCCCATTGTCTATAAGCTGCATCACCATAGCTTATCAGCAATTATTAATGAATCAGAGAGTCCGACCGAGTTTGAGTGTAGGTGGAATTCATTGATGAATGATTCTCAATTGAGTGCTAATGATTGGTTATCCAAAATGTATGCAATCAGAGATCGTTGGGTTCCGGCTTACATAAAACATGTCTTTTCTGCCGGTATGTCAAGTAGCCAGCGTGTTGAGAGTAATCATGCATTCTTCAAGAGGTACCTCGATAGGAAATGCTCATTGAATGACTTTTTCACACGTTTTAGCAGGGCTATTGCACACCAACGACATGAAGAGTTGATGGCTGGCCACATCGACTTTCATGAGAAACCAAGGATCAACACGACGTTTGCAATTGAAAAGCAAATGGCCGGAATCTACACGAAAACTATATTTTTATTGTTTCAGGCTGAATTTGAGAAAAGCTCTAGCTATATATGTAAAATGATGACGAGCACCAACGAAAGCCGCATTTATGAGGTTTGGCGGTTTGATATGGAAGAGACAAATCAACGTCGACGACATTTAATATATCATGTGGCCGAGGATCTTATAACTTGTAGTTGTAAACACTTTGAGTTTGAAGGATATCTTTGCCGACACATGCTATGTTGGATGAGGGTCGAACAAGTGATGCTTGTACCGAAAAAGTACATTAAAGAAAGATGGACGAAGAATGCAAAGAAAAACCTTATTTATGCAACGTCACATAATCTTGTAGCAGGTCAGTCTATCCTGGGTAGACGTGGGACATTGTCGCAGTTAACACGAGAGCTCATAGATGAAGCATCGTTGACAGAGGCCAGGAGCAAATATCTTATGGAGAAAATCGAAGTTTTGAAGATTGAGATCAGTGGAATAGATGTAGAAGAATGCACAAATAAAACTTTGAACAGAATAAAAAGTCGAGACGAGATTGTTCGAGTAAGCGACCCCGAGCCTGTACGTACAAAAGGTTGCGGCAAACGTCTAAAATCAGGAAAAGAAAAATCCATGTCACAGAGTTCCCGAACATGTAGTTTCTGCCATCGAATTGGCCATGATAGACGCAAATGTCCCGACTTGTCAATCTTGGATAATATTTCGACGGACCTCTGAGGTGATTTGATTTTTAATATTATTTGATTTCTGGCTTTGAGGTGAGGATTTATATGAGGCCTTTGATGTGGCTTATTTGTTGTTTTAATTTAATATTTTTAATTTTTAATTTTTACATTTTTCTGGTTTAGTTGTATATGATAATGTTATGTATTTGGAATGTGTTTGTGTATTTGTGTTACAGTAATGGGTTTTGTGATCTAATTTGTTGGTCTGTGCGTGTGTTAGTTTAGCTTTTAGGCAATGGACAACAAACACTAATGGGTTTTGAGATCTAATTGTTGATTTCTGTGTGTATTAGTTCCGCTTTTTGGCAATGGACAATAGTATTAATTTAAATTTAGCTTTTCGGCAACGGACAAAAGTTCATGTGTTTTCTATATTTCCAGTCTTGGTGATTTTATGATATGATTTTAGCATGAGTTTGTGGCAATTGTTCTATTTTTTTTTTTTTTTTTTTTTTTTTTTTTTTTTTTTTTTTTTTTTTTTATTACATGGTATTAGCTTATGAGGGTGAGAAGTCATATTGGATCAGGACTAGTATAAGAAAAGCGAGAGGATTTCATTAACATGCTCAGCATTTGGTTTTTCGATCAGTTTAATTATCTTACCCTATCTTACTTTTTTCCTACCCTATAAATGATTATTTCGTGGTGTTCTATCTGGAAGTGTTGTGAGGGAGAGGTAAATATCTTTACTACTTAAACATAGAAGCTAGGCAAAGATTGATATTTCTCAGTTGTATGGTGATGAATGGACGGATAACTCATTTTTTCTACCTTTCTATAGGATTATTCGGGCTTTCTTGGTGGAAGAGCCAAAAAACCGTGAAGAAGGTGTTGAAGATCGAGAAGGCATAGGAAAAGCTAGTTCTAAGAGTTAAAACCCGCATGCATTATGTTTTTATGCAGAAGCTCTTTGTGTGATGATGAAAGGGATGTGATCTTTTGTTAGTTGTTAAGTGCTTGCTTCTGGTTGTTTTTTTTTTTTTTTTTTTTTT